CATGTTTTTATATAAGGGTATGTGCATGTTATTTTAGTATATGTATAGTTTGGGTTACAATGGTATACATGCAAGAATGTACACAACAATAGAAGACTGAATGAATCTATGTATTACTCTGACCATGGACACTTTTCCACTTACTTCATATCTGAAGAGTGTCTGCAGAAGAACTCGTTCTCCACATTACGCTGGTTGAGGATGGTTGAAATAGCATCGTGCTGAGACTCGATGGGAAGTGTTGGAGGAGGGCCTACAGCTTCATTCAGTGCATGGCCAAACTGCTCCAGCACTTCTGGGCTTGTGTGACCCACATAGTTCAACAGCTGGAGAAACAAATTTCAACATATTCAACATGAATAACACTTTGCATGAAGCAAAACTAATTTGTATATAAAAAAGATACAAGTGTATATACAGATATATAATGATGAGCCAAAAATACTGAACAAGCCGACAGCTAATTAACAACACATTCCATCTCCTTGTCCTACAAAAATTCCAGTAACATACATCATCCAAGTTGTCCAGGTCCTCAGCAGAATCTTCGTGTGTCGGCAAAACCCCTGGTGGTCGGTGCCTGAGGGTGTGCCTTGGGGGGGATGTCACGACAAATGAGGAAGACATGATATCATCGCGGCTGTCAGTGTGGTGCTCCAAGCTGCTTGCCGAACTGAACTGAACCCCTAAACCTGTGTAACCAGGAAGTGGTGGAGGGGCTCCAGGTGTAGCCTGTAAAAGAAATCATGAAAATGACTGATAATGATATGAAAATAAAACCAACATTATTCCTAATAACTATAATAATTAAGAACATCATATTCATTATAATCATTAGTGATCACAATAATGATGCAAGTAATTATCATATCAGGAATCTTACAATAACCACAATACTAAGTAATAATACACTGAAAGACATTGCACCAAAATGAGATATCCATTTGAAAAAAGACAAAATCACTCACCCCAGGAGACATGCTTGGTTGCTGCTGTGCTTGTGCTTGTAACTGCTGCGACTGCTTCATCTGCTGGTGGTGGACATGAATGGCTGGGTCAGCTATGCACTCACTTGGTGGGGCATAAAGAAGGGTAGCGTCCCATGAGAACTTTCCAGAGAGATCCCTCAGGATGAGTCTCACCTGCAGATGAAAAGGTCAAAACTTGTCACCGACAATCCTTCCTCTCTTTTAGGTACTTCATACAAAAACACACATTTTCCTCCATTTCCAAAACATACTTGGAATGAGTACAACTTTCCCCCAACAAAATAAAAATACCTCTGAATTTGGTGTCTTAAATCCTGCAGTGGCAGCCCCTCCTGGAACCTGAAGTGCTGGAAGTTGTACCAGAGACAACAAGCATGATTGATTGAGGGCAAAGAGCTGAATGTGCGGCGACAGGAAAACCTCAGATGACAATTCATCTCCAGAAAGGCCAGGGACATCATCTCCTTCAACCACCAATGAGGAAAGGCGTTGTGCTCCCACACCCAGGGGGAAATGCCATAAATGGTTCATGATGTGACTTGTGATCTGGAATACAGATAATATTATATATCTAATTATGAATGGAAAAACACTCTACTGTGTTGATACTATGGTAGAAAAACCCACAATGCACAAATTAAATATATTGAAGAAATTTAGTTTGTGCATTGTGGGTTTTTCTACCATATCTAATTATGTAATTACTCATTTATTTATTCAATTAGGTCTATACCTGACTTAATTTCTAAATATCTTAAAATCAGAATATTAGCATACTTTTAATCTCATATACTCGAATTTCACTTCATTCTTACCGATCTTGCAGCTAGTTTTATGGTAGAAGTGCAAGAGGCAGGGAAGGAAGACCTCTTGAGGGAGTCTCCCCAGGTTGAAGAATCCACGCTCCCACTCCTGCCCAAATCTTCCCGAACATGGCTTTCAAAATCCACAATTTCAATGTTGGGTGATTTTATATGATTGCTCTTTTTGCCACTGGTAATAATGTGAAGCACCTGGAAAAATACATCAAATCTACACAGTCCCACAAACTATCAGAGTAAACAAGCTGAAAACACAAAGACCATGAGGGCTTTACATGTATATTGCTCTCTCTATGATAACCAATTCATACATTTACAATAATTTTTGGTTGCCAATTCTATCTTACCACATAAACCCCAAACCTTCTTTCCTAAAAATAAATCACATCTTCCATACAATAAAGTATATCAAGCAAATTACTGTTCCACAATAAGAAATACATCTCTCAATTACACCCAACCTTATATCTAACAATAAATATACACAATATCATAGGTAAATCTTTATTCCACTCAGCTCTCTCTACAAACCTTGAATACATGTTGAAGTAGAGTCTGTTTGTCTTGCATAGGTTGAATAAGTACTTGTTGAGGCATGCGCATGACCCACTCGGCCAGGCAAAAGAGGCAAGAAAGCACAAGGTGTTTCCCATCGGTACTGACTGTGAGGCTGTTGTCTGTTCCGATAGCTCCTAGTGTCTGACAGAGTACCTAAGAAATGAAAGGAAGACATAAATTAATGCTATGGGTTTGGCAGGCTTCTAAATCATTATTGTATACATTTACTTATGAATCTAAAGAACTCTCAAAACATTAATTCACTTCAAAACTTACATGGGGGTGAAAGACGATATATCAGACTTTCAAGGGCCCCATCAAAACATCAAACTTCTAGAACTTGGATAGCCAGTAACTATATCAAACATACATTTCCATTTCTTCAATAACAACGAAAATCAGACAAACTTACCTGAATAATTCTAACTGGTACATCTGGATAATGTGTGAGGAGAGCTTCTGCATGGTCGCACATGAGCAGGAGTAGGTCAGCTGCTATCTGACCCACCAAGCGTCCAATCTGTTGATCAGGTAATTCAATAAACATTTGCACAGCTGATAAATGCTTTTACTGGTCATGAAGATTTCTCCCTATATTCAAACACTTATTGCATATTGATATAATAATCTCTGAAGGATGTAAAAGACTTTAATAACACCATTCTTGGGTCAACTGCAGAATAAAAGGAAAGATTTATCTTTACTTCTGTCTTTAGAAATCACCTATCAAGATTATTCAAACCTTTTTGTTACAAAGTGTGAAACCTTCCTACCTTTCCCCATCAAATTCTCTTGCTTACTTCCATCTACTTTTCTCTGAAAGTGTTCTGTTTATTTTGATAGTATATTCATAACAGAAAGTAATTTTTACTCTAATTCTATAGCACTTTACTCAGAGTAATGTTAAGAAACAAAAACAACTAAACAGATAATTCATATCATTGCAATATTCAAATAAAAGTAAAAACTACATAAACATCTTACATATATCATCTACAATGCTACACATAAATGTATGTTGGCAGCAGAGGATCATATTAACCATTATAATTCCCATTCATAGAAGAACAAGCATAATCCTGCTAACAATCTAATCTATGAACTGTAGTCTATTCAACAAACTTTTTTCAACCTACATTTCTAGTCAAGAAAAAAATAATAATAATAATTGAAAAAGAAAAATACATATTCAGTATTCTGTGAATATAGTGACATAATACTCGTATATCAAATAGTTCAGTAATTCATAATATCTGATTTTGATTCAGTTCTCTACTTAACATTAATATTTCTTTAGAAAGAATAAAATAAATAAATACTTCTAGAAGGGCTTTTAACTCTTCCAACAGAGTACCTATTCCAAGTGGACTTAATCTTAGAACACAAAATATATGCAATCACCCTGCTTTATTAGGAATTCAGAGGGTGCAATATGCAGCATGGCAACCTTCCGCAGATTATCACTAATTAGTACTGTTAAGTTTCAGATACCAAAAAAAAATCTATTACCTTAAAATCTTCTGCTTCAAAATAATTGAATACATAAAATTGATAACCAAAAAATGACAAATACATATACAAGCATGTTATGAAGATAGGCCAAGTAAAGAGCAGACTTCAAAGCAACGGCTGGGAAAATGCCTCTCAAAAGCTCTAGTTCAAGAAGCCATTTATTAGGATGAAATTACAAAGCAGAAATTGGAATTCCTGAAACGATCAAAGTTTCAAAAAAGATCCATTCCTCAGGATTTGTTATTGTCATCTGAATCCTACAAGTTATGATTAAAGAGTCTGCAGGATTATGCCGCAAAAATAAAAAAAATCTCAAAAGCCTTATTCAGTTTCTGCAACTGATTGATCATCTGCCGCCTTGTACAATCAGTCAGGGATCTAACATGCTGTGGATGGGGACATGCCTCATAAACAATGATACAAAAAAGAAAAAAAAGACTGGGTGTGGTATGCTTCATGTATGGGAGTGTGCATATGTATGGGCTTGTCTCGGTGTCTATGAGTGTGAGACTGAGTATTGGTATAAGATTAAGAGTGAAAAGAAGTGTGTGAAGATGAGAAAGAGACTGAGAATAAGAACAAGTGAGAGGAAGCATGACACTATATGATAGGGTGTGTGAATGTGAAAGTCTAAGTGTAAGGCTGAGTGTGCTCGTGTGTGCATATTTCAATATGTAAAATATAATACATACCTGCTTCTGCTATTGTGTATTTGCATTTAGTTTCTGTGTTCCTATGTGTTTGCATGCCTTTCTGTGTGCAAATGTGTATGTGTACATCCTTTATTATACATGATTTTCTACTTGTCTTGAATAAACTTATGATATATATATACATATATACATATATACATATATATATATACATATATAGATATATTCGTACATATATACATACATATATATTAATTTGTATGTTAATGTTGTTAAATGTCTTTTCATTTTTGTACATGCACTTTCAGTGTGAAGATGTTTGTGCTCCAATATACATGTCAGTATGTGCTGGTATGTGCATACTTAAATTACATAAATACAAAAATACTCATTTCATATCTGGAATAATTCTATCTAAAACTGCAATGAACTCTAAAGGCCATCAAAAGGTTAATCTGTTTTATAAGCATTTTACCATCCAATCCATCTCCCTTTCTACAATATCTTATTTCCATTATGAAAAAAATACCCATAAAAACAGGATATTAATAAAGAAATATATAAATAAACAGACAAATAATTCCATTAGTTTAGCTTACAAAGGACAGCACCTTCCACAACCACAAGTAAGATTAGATCCATTCATGATTGCTGCCCTCCCCAATCTCTCCCCGACACTACAAGACACACACGGCAAAATATACCTCAGCACTCTGGGCCAGATGCTTAGTTGGGTGCGTTGAAGGTACTGCTTGCTAGAATGCAAAACACTCATCAGTTCTGGGTCATGCTTTACTGCTCAAATGCCCTCATTGCCCAGAGTAAGATGTAGAAAATGTGTAGTAAAATAAATACACGCCACAAAGTAGTGCCATCATTCATCTCAAGAAAGGTACTTCAATTTAAAATGGTTTGTGAAAAGAAAATGAGTTTTACAATTCAATAGTTTTCAAATTACTACACACAGGTGTTTCATGGTGATGACTTCACAAATCAGAATAATGGTGACACAAACTTTGCAATCCAAAATTAGTGTTTTCAATCAAATTTACCTACACATTTTTCACATACAATATATAGTTAGCAGTAATTAGCCTATATCTTATCTTAACAACAAATTGTAAACTACAGAATAAAAATTACAAACAACATATATTCAGCAAAGCAATTAAAATGCTGTAAGCATAAAACACACTAAATTCATGCAAAAATTTCTTGTTACAAAGTAATACTCTGAAGGCATGCATAGTAATTTTATTAAAATAAAATACATGATTTTAAGCTCAAGGAGAATTATGAATGTGTAAGCATGAACTATTCCTCCAACTTCCAAGGTAATCTTCTGGTAAGTTAGTAGTATAAAAAGTTTAAACTACACTTGATATAGAAAAAAATAATGACAGGGAAAAAAGCTACTTATCAACAACATTTAGTCAAACAAACAATGCAAAAAAACTCAATACTGTCCTATTCCATCAGTCTTACTACGCCTAGAGGCCTCCTATCCTGTTTTACCTTCAAGGACGCAAGGAGGACATTTATAGCCTCGTTGACCTTTGTGTGGAAAGTCTGATTGGCCAGCTCATGGTAGAGGTAAAGGGCAAGCGTGCACAAGGCCAGCGACCTGGTGCGCCACCAGCTGTCCTTCTTCCCGCTTTTCAGTAACACGTTCACCAAGTGATCCTGGAAATGGAACGGAAGAGATGCATCATTTCCATTCCTTCCAATAATAATAGCCTACAAAACATACATAAAAATCTCAACAGTGGAAACCTGATTAACTGTATATACTACTAACATCCTTATTCATGCATAAATCAATTCTAGCAAAAGTTAGCAGGCTAGACACATCAACATTCTATAAAATGCTTAAACACCTTAACAAACCTTAACATCTGAGCAGTTCATAAGAGCAAGATCCGTGGCAGAAGGCTGAAGGACTGGCATGGACGGGTAAAGCGATGAGAGCGGCAGCAAAGATCCAAGGAGACTTAAGGCCTCTAGACGCGGTGACTGCTGTAAGAAGCGTATCAAAATATTTGTCAGATGAAAGCATCCCTTAGAGTATGTATAACGCAATCAAATTTTCAAATACATTTTCATCTCAGGTGGATATCCATCCTCCAAGTTTATGAACTGAATTTCGGATGAACAAAAAACTCCAAAATATACATACAAACCCTAGCAAAATCAACTTACAAATAAAATCAGCTTGATTCAATAAATATCATATAAAAGACTGAACTTACAACTTTGGAATCAGGAGCAGTTATGACAGTGTTAGTAGCAAAAATGAAATCCAGGGTGAGCATCGTAGCACCTGGCAGTCCCAGGGAGAAGAAGTGTGGGCCACACTCTGCTACTAATGTGTTGATTATTTCCTGTGGATTGAAAGTAAAAATAAAAATTAAATTTCCTTTAGAAAGAACCATATTTTCAATGCATACACCATTAACTCACACTTGTCTGTAATAGCAACAACTGTATACAAAATCTCTAATGTCATAAATTATAGACAGCATTTTAAAAATTATAAACAAATCAGTTAGTTACACATACCTGATCTTGACCAACTAAACCTTGGTGAAGAACTCTATAAAAATGTGTAAGAATGTCTTTTGGTGGTGGGATATCATGCTTGCGTACCATCATCACACACAACAACCGGTAGGCTAGTGTTTTGCCTCGATGAAAAGGAGGTGGCAGTGTTAAAGCCTGTAAATAAACAATGTGTTCTTGACTCAACCTGACAAGAGGAAGTCTTTCCCCTAATATTACATGAAATACATAATGAATGAAGACAGAATCCACACATGTTTACCCACCCTGAAGCACCAAGGGGCGACTAGCAAAATTGGAGGTATTAGTTCTGGAGGCTCTGGGCTGCTTTGGTTGTCAACTGAAATGCTTTGATTATTTCGTAACTGAAAAGAAAAAGAAATAAGAAGTAAGTCATCTGTAATACCA